TCTTTTTAAAAACAATCTCTTTGTGATACAAATCTAGTTGTGCTATTGCTGAATCAAAGGGTATTATGCACAGTTTTATAGTCTTGTGGGAGTAGTTTCAAATTGTTCTCCAGTACTTGGACTAGTCCACAACTCTTCAAACAGTGTGTTAGTGTCCCAATTTTTCACATCACCTCCAGCATTTTCATTTTCCTTTTGTGTCATATTACCCAAAATGACTGGGATGAGGTGTTATCTCAAAGTTGTTTTAATTTGCATTTCTCTAATCAGTAGTGATTTAGAGCATTTTTTCCAAGTGACAATTGATAGCTTTGATTTCTTCTTCTGAAAACTGCCTGTTCATATTCTTTGACCATTTATCAATTGGGGAATGACTTGTATTCTTATAAATTTGATTTAGTTCTCTATGTATTTGAGAAATGAGTCCTTTATCAGAGAAGGTTGCTGCAAATTCCCCCTACCCCTCACTTTCCTGTTTTTCTTCTAATTTTGGCTGTATTAATTTTGTTTGTGAAAAAGGTATTAAATTTCATGGAGTCAAAATTATCTATTTTACTTCCCATGATCTCCTTTATCTCTTCTTTGGTCATGAACTCTTCCATTATCCATAGAGTTGACAGGTATATTTTCCTATGCTCTCCTAGTTTACTTATGATATCACCCTGTATGTCTAAATCATATATCCATTTTGACCTTATATTGGTATAGAGTGTGAATTGTTGGTCTGTGTCTAGTTTCTGCCAAACTGCTTTCTAGTTTTCCTAGCAATTTTTGTCAGATGTTGAGTTATTATCCCAAAGGCTTGGATCTTTGGGTTTGTCAAACACTAGATTGCTATGATCATTTGCTACTATGTATTGTGTACATAATCTAATCTATTCCAGTGATTTACCACTATATTTCTTAGACAGTACTGGATTGTTTTGATGATTACCACTTTGTATTGTAGTTTGAAATGTGGAACTGCTAGTCTGCTTTCCTTAACATTTTTTTTCATTGATTCCTTTGATAGTGTTGACCTTTTGTTTTCCCAGATGAATTTTGCTACTATATTTTCTAGCTTTATAAAATGATTCTTTGGTAGTTTGATTGGCATGGCACTGAATACGTAAATTAGCCTTGGTATAATTGTCCTTTTTATTATATTGGCTCGGTCTACTTATGAACAATTAATATTTCTCCAATTGTTTAGATCCGTCCTTATTTGTGTGAAGTGTTTCATAATTGTATTCCTATAACCCCTGGGTTTGTCTTGGTAGGTAGTCTCCCAAGTGTTTTGTATTGTCTACAGTTATTTAAATGGGATTTCTCTATCTCTTCCTGGTGGGTTTTGTTGGTGGTATATAAAAATTCTGATGACTTATATAGGCTTATTTTATATCCTGCAACTTTGCTAAAGTTGTTGTTTCAATTAGTTTTTTAGTTGATTCCCTAAGGTTCTCTAAGAATACCGTCATATCATGTGCAAAGAGTGATAGTTTTGTTTCCTTATTGCTTGTTTTTATTCCTTCAATTTCTTTTTCTTGTCTTATTACTATAGCTAGCATTCCTAGTATATTATTGAATAATAGTGGTGATAATGGGCATGCTTTCTTCATTCCTGATCTTATTGGGAAGGCTTCTAGCTTGTCCCCATTACAGATAATGCTTGCTGGTGGTTTTAGATTGATACTACTTATGATTGTAAGAAAGATTCCATTGATTCTTATGCTTTCTAGAGTTTTTAATAGGAAAGGATATTGTGTTTCCCCAAAGGTTTTCCTTCCTTCCTTCCTTCCTTCCTTCCTTCCTTCCTTCCTTCCTTCCTTCCTTCCTTCCTTCCTTCCTTCCTTCCTTTCTTTCTTTCTTCCCAAGAATTTTTTATTGTTTTTATTTTACAGCCTTTTATGCCATGAATTCATAGGGGATTGGTTCCAACAGCTCAGGTTCCTTGCCATTGGTTCTCGCAAAGTGTACTTCTCTGGGTGGAGCAGGCTGGTGTTTCAGTTGAACTCAAGTGCCTTTTTCTTTGGCTTCCTTCTTGTTCTGATCATTTTCCTGAAGCTCTTAGGATGCTTAATATGCTCAATACGCATATTAATTCTCTTGGCTAGAATCTTGCCCTTAACTTGTTTGTTTACAACAGTGCCTACAGCATGTTGAGAAATATTATAGACCTGTCCAGTCTTGCCATGGTAACATTTGTGGGGCATTCCTTGCTGAACCGTGCCCATACCTTGGTATCTACAATATCACCTTTCTTGTATGTTTGCATATACATATCCAGAAGGACAACACCGTGCTTTCCAAAGGGCCTAGAAAACATGTATGGTATCCCTCTCCTTTTTCCTTTTGTGTTCATCATTTTGGCAACTCACTGGAAAATGGTGGAGCCGGTGGGAAAGCTCCCAAAAGTTTTCCTGCATTTATTGCTATAATCATTTGATTTTTGTTGTTATTATTATTGATGTGGTCAATTATGCTGATAGTTTTCCTAATATTGAACCAGCCTTCAATTTCTGGTATTAATCCCATCTGATCATAGTGTATGATCTTTGTGATATATTGCTGTAATCTCCTTGTTGTATTTTATTTAACATTTTTATGTTGACATTCATTAAGGAAATTGGTCTGTAGTTTTCTTTCTCTGTGTTTGCTCTCCCTGGTTTATGTATCAAAACTCTATTTGTGTCATAAAAGAAATTTGTTAGGACTTCTTCTTTACCTGTTTTTTCAGATAGTTCATATAGTGTTGGGATTAATTGTCCCTTAAATATGTGGTAGAATTCACTTGTGATTCCATCTGGTCTTTGGGATTTTTTCTTAGGGAGCTCATTGACATAAAAAAAAAAACCCATGAAATGTTTTTTTTTTTTCTAAGATAGGGTTATTTATAGGGTAGATTGTTGATTTTACTAGCACATAACTGGGCAAAATAATAACTCCTAATAATTGATGAGGCACTTTTTTTTTGCAGCATCACTTTGAGGTAGACAGTGAAAATATTATTGTCCCTATTTTACTGCTAAGGAAATAAGCTCAGAAAGGTTGTTTGCCTAGGGTTACACAGCTAGTAAGTGTTGAAACTGGAACTCTGATTCCAAATCTAGTGTTATTCCAACAGAATTTTGTCATAATTAAATTTTTGCTTATTTGTACCTGTGTTGCTAAAAAAATAACCCCAAAAAACATTATTACAACATGCTAAGAAGACAGTATAAGGAGGAAAGGGCAAAAGGGGAGTGGTGATGCTTTGTCACTTTACTTGGATAATCCCACCCCAGCAGAGTTCTACAAGATATTTTTGACACTAAGCAGAATTTTAAAATTCTACCTTTCTTCCCTCTCCCTTCACAATTTGGAGGGTTTCTGCCTATGAGAGGCTTTGAGACTTTATTGTAACACATGCAGTTTGATTTAGTATAAGATAAATACCAAAGTGAAATGAAAAGCAAAATATGTGGCCAATAAAAATTCACTAATGCAAAGGAATTGTAAAAGTACCTTCACATCACAGCATTGAGTGTTTCATTCAGAGTGGCTTCATACCTTGTCAATGCTTAATCTCATCTCTACAACATAGCCATCCATATTCTTTTCCATTTCTGTACCTAGAAATGTATTGTATAGAATTTTTGTCCAGTCCTCCTAACTGCTACTGTCTTTGGCTTGGGCCAATTTTACTGGTTATATGGTCTCCACTTGCCAGGTAGATCTGGCATGCTATGAATGCCCCTGAATTTGCACAATGGGCCACGTGTCATATTTACTTACCTTATCCTGCCAACTTCCATCCTCATGAATAAAACTCTGTCTCGATTCTGTTTGGCTTTTACTGCCAACTCTCACTTCTGCTATTAGCATCTTCTTATCTTGGATAATTATTTTAATGATTTCTTTCACACAGTCCTACTGGTAGACATAAGTGGAAGAGAGAAATTCTATCCTTCAGGGTTGTCTTGGTATGGTAGCAGGGGTGGGGAACCTGTAACCTTGAGGCAACATGTAGCTTCTATGTCTTTGGGTGCAGCCTTTTGATTGAGTCCAAGTTTCACAGAACAAATCCTTTTTTAAAGTTGATTTGTTCTGTGAAGTTTGGATTCAGGCTAATAAGACAGTTGAAGGCAGGTATATTTGTATTACAGGGTTGGGTTAGCAGGGTAATATGAGATGGATACTATATGTAATGTTCTTTGCAAACCTTAAAACAGTATGTATAATGATCCATTTTAGTCTTTGTAATTTTAGTTTTGGTGGTGGGGTTTGTGAACTTTTTTAAAAAAATATTTTGATAACTATTTCAATCAAATTGGCTTCCTTTGTAATTCCATGTATTTGATTTTATGCATTTAAAACATTTTGAGAAGGGGTCCACAGGCTGCACTTGACTGGTAAAAGGGTCCATGATACAAAAAAGGTTAAGAACCTATTCCTAGAATGGAATAAAAAATGTTATATATTATTATTCAGAGGACTTTTAAAATCAATTTTTGTTAAATTTTAAGTCATAGGTATTTTTTATTTTATATAAACATTTTATGGTTCTCAAATTTATGTAATTACATATCACTTATTTTAAGAACTTGTAGTTTCAAACTTAAATATTTAGATTTATTTTTATTGTGAGGCATCCATTAATAAAGTACAGAACATTTTGGCATAACTAGCTAGATTAGACATTGTAAATACCCAGACAATATGATTTAATGTGCCAATTTTTATTTTACATGCAATATTTTAGTAATACATGTAATGGATGAAATAAAGTCAAACTATTTAATCTTAGAGTTGACAAATCTAACGGATAAAGTAAGATCAAACTAATTTTAAATGTTACTATTATGTGAAAGCACCATTTTAATAACATTTGTGAAGGATGGTACCACCATTAGAGGTAAAAATTTAATTCCAGCACTTGAAAAATTAAAGTTGATATTGACTGGATCTCAAATATTAGTTGTAAATTATATTCTAGTTATATTACCTTTTTTAAAAATTAGCTTAATTATTTTTTCTTATAGTTTGCCAGGGTTTGGATACCTGATCCTGAGGAAGTCTGGAAATCAGCAGAGTTGCTCAAAGACTATAAACCAGGAGATAAAGTGCTTCAGCTACGCCTTGAGGGAGGCAAGGTAACGTTTTCTGTCTTCACTAGTTTGCAGGCTTTGGGTGCTCTGATGTTTACTACTTGTGTTACATTGTACAAGTCATTTTCTCTGCATCATTCTTCTTCCTCACCTGTGAAATGAGTGGGTTGGACTACTACAGATGATCTTAAAAGACCCTTTTAGTTATAAATTCCAAGATACATTGAAGAAGAGAAATATCAAAAACTAAAGGTTGCCATTAAGCTTGGCGAGACTATAGTGTGCTTAGCTTAGGTTTGGAGTTTCACTTTTTGTTCCAATGTTATTTTTTTTTCCTTCTAGGTTGATACATAGTTAGCAAATTATCCATGCAAATAAAGTACACATGTAGTATGAATAACCCCTTGTGTTATTTTCACCATCTCCCATCCCAAATTTGTCTATTTGATTTTTGTTTAAGCTAATGTTAAAATTAATATATAGTATACACTACCTAAAGCTGAATGACTGGAGGAAACCAGCCCAGAATTGGATATTTATGTCAAAAAACCTACAAATATTTATTGAGGATTTGCTATGTGAAAGGCATTGTAGAAAATAACAAACCATTTAATGTCATGATTCCTGCATTCAAAGAACATGTAGTCTTGGGGAAATAAAACACTGGAAAAAATAACTAATGGTACAAGAGATTTAAAAAAGCAGAAGTATATGGTTAATTGCCCATTGAACTTTATAAAGCTAATTAGCACTATGGAAATTCATGGGGAGGAAAAAGCTGTGGACATAAGTGGTCTGAAAAGGTCTGAGTCTTAGATAAAGAGGGCAATGTTCTTGGCAGATAGAATGATTTGAATAAAAACATGGAAGGCAGGAAACCACAAGATGCATTTGGCTTCATGGCTTACCAGTTCTACCAACTTTCTTTCATGTCAGAAGGTGCCAGGAATTGTCAATTTCATGTTAGAAGTAAATAAAAATTTGAAACAGGAGGTGAAATCCATCAATAGTAATGAGTTAGAAATAACATATTTTGTTTTGTTTTATTAAATAATTCATACAAGTATTTTTTTCATTTTTTAGGATTTGGAATATTGCTTAGATCCAAAGACAAAGGAGCTGCCTCACTTACGAAACCCTGATATCCTTGTGGGTGAAAATGACCTCACAGCTCTTAGCTATCTTCATGAACCTGCTGTGCTCCATAATCTCAGAGTCCGTTTTATTGATTCCAAACTTATTTATACCTATTGTGGTGAGTGTATATCCTAGATTGTCTCACAGTGAAATACCTCCTTTGTTGTCATAAAACCATGGAACATGTTAGGCATAAGAAGATAGGTTAGAGATTATTTGTAGGGAGGGAAATAAAATGACATACAGCATTAGCAGGCAGTCTTAATGGTTTTCTTTAGTCACGTTGCATCTTAGGTGAATGGCTTCTTGATCATTTGTACAGAATAATACAAGGTTTCCCAAAGGTCTTAGTGCAGTTTTAAGCTTTAGTAGTTTAAATCAACTATTGCTAGATGGGGGGTGGAGCGGGGCAGGAATGGCATTATGAAATAGCTTAAATAAAGTAAGAAAATGGAAAGTTTAAATTAAGCTTTAATAGCTAAAACTGCACTAAGACTTTTGGGACAACCTGTACAGAAGTGGGGAAATATGACATTGTCTTCAAAGAAGTCGTAGGCCAACTAAATGCCAACCCTCTGCTGTAAGAAGCATCTCTTGCATTAGACAACATAACCTATATATGTACTAAAGGTTCTAGTGCCTAACCTTTGAGATTCATAGGTGCTGGTAGTGTTCTTTTTCTCAATGGTTTTTAACCATAACTGAAACAACTGTAGGGCTAAATGTTTTCCTTGTTCCTTAATTTGTTCAGTTCCTTATTATTGCTGTGACTCTTTCCATTCTCTTCCTTTACTGTGAACATGAATACCTACTTGCTCCTTTGTCATTCTGATCTATAATATCTAACCCTGATTATCTCTTTTGCATCTCTCTTCAGGTACTATGTATGTATTATTTTTGTCTGTTGCTAGTTTTTTGTCTACTACCTTCTTATGGCCTCTCCCCTATTACTCTTCATAGACCCTTAAAATACAGTTGTAGAATCTCCATTCGCTTCTTTCTGTATCCACTGCCTTAGTGTACTTTTTTCAGCATTCATCCTTAAGAAAGGAGATTAATAATCTCCCTGTACCATCTGGTACTTTGAGCCACCCAGAGCTTTAGCTAGACATGTTCATGCCAGGTAAAGGCAGAAATGAAACATGTCCACAAACGAGTTTTTTTTTTTTTTGCTTTTAGGCAATTGGGGTTAAGTGACTTGCCCAGGGTCACACAGCTAGGAAGTGTCAAGTGTTTGGTCTGAGGCCGGATTTGAACTCAGGTCCTCCTGACTTCAGGGCCGGTGCTCTATCCACTGTGCCACCTAGCTGCCCCCACAAATGAACTTTTTGCGATGCATTCTGTGAAAGTAATACAAGGAGTAATTAAGATAAATTCAGTTGTACAGAAGAGGGAATTAGTTATTGTAGTGGATGGGGATTAATAATATACTCTATCTAGTTTCTTCCTATTTTAAATAATTATTCCTGCTAATCAGGTGCTACCCTTGGTTGTTTCTGGTGGTTGGAGTGGTGCAGGATGCATTTTGATGGTCAGGGTCCAAAACCTAGTCATCCCATCCTAGTTATGACTCTGGGCTACCCTTTCTTCCTCATTTTCTTTACACCCTTGGATTTCATGATGCCATTTCCCCCCCGTTTATCAACCACTAAAAGTATGGGAATGAAGGCCTATATTGAGATGGTCACAATGGAAATAGAGAAGAGGTGTTGAATTTAGGGTATTGAGGTAGAATTGACTTACCTGATTGTTGATTAGATATGAGAAGACAGAGAAGAGGAAGAATCAAAGATGGAATGATATTGTATAAACCATACCTGAGCAAGAATAGATCTTGTCTACAATGTTCCTGTTATACAGTCATCAGGGTCTATATGAAGACCTCCAATGAAGGGAAACTCACTGACTAATACTCAAGCAATTGAAGAACAACATTTTATTATGTGACTGTCATGTGCCAAGTACCGTCCTTGAAGATAGGAATACAAATATAAAATTAAGACAGGCCCTGCCCACAAGGAGCTTACATTCTATTAGGTAGATAGGACACATTCACACAGGCAAGATACAAAATATATCGGTTGATGAGTGACAGGTTGAGGGAAGGGAGATATGGGAGGAGTAACAACTCACAGAAATCAGTAAAATGCCTTTGATTGTAGGTAAAATTGTTGAGCCTTCATGGGAGCTTTGAAGAGAACTTGGAGTTTCAAGAGTCAGAGGCAATGAAGGAGAATGCATTCTATGCCTCTGCAAAGGCCTAGAGGCAATCAATAGAATGTCACATATGGGAAACTTTGAGTAGGTCAGTTTGGCTGGAATGTAGAATGAATGAAGAAGAGTAATATGTAATCACTTTGAAAAGATGGGCTGGGGTTAGATTGTGAAGGGCTTTAAATGCCAAACAGAGGAGGAAATGAGGAGTCACTGGAGCTTCTTAAGCAGAGCAGTTACATGGTCAGACTTGCACTGTAGAAATGTCAGTTTAGTAGCTTTGTAAAAGACAGATTGGTGACAGAAAAGTCTGTCTGGATGGAGACCAATTAAGGAACTACTGCAATAGTCCAGATCAGACACATGGTGAGTGCATAAACCAGGGGGGTTAGGTGTGAAGAGAGAAAAGGCGGTATATTTGAGGGGTGTTCAGGAGGTGGAATATTCAACAGGATTTCACAACAGATTGGACATAAGATATGAGTGAAAGAGAGGTGTCAAGCCTGGCTGCTAGAATGGTGATATCCTTGATAGAAATAAGGAAGTTAGGAGGAAGAGTGGCTGCCCATTTTACCTTTGGATAGTGCTCATTATTAGGAAATTTGCCTTCTATCACAACAAACTTTACTTCTCTCCTTTTTCTACCCATTACTCCTAGTTTTGCCTTTTGGTAACAAGCAGATTGTCTAATTCTCATCTGTATCGTAGGCCTTCAAGTACTGAAAGATAGCTAGCTTGTCTCCCCATTAAGTCTTCTCTTTTCCTAGATAAACATCTCTATTCCTTCAAGCAATTTACATATGACATATTTTTCAGTCTTCTATCCTTTTCTGCACATAACTTGTCAGTAGACATAATAAATACATATGGTTCTCAAAACTGGACAAAATACTCCATCTGTGTTCTGATCAGGGAATTTTACAGCGGGACTGTAATCTTCTTTGGTTTTTACATGGCTTCTATAAATACAACTTTAGGTCGCATAATTTTTTGGCTGTCATGTCACATGATTGACACATACTGAGTATGTAGAACATTCGGTACCCCAGGTTTTTTTTTTTAATGTGAAGTTTTATCTGCCAGGTCTCTCTCTGTCATAATGTACCAATACTCTGTATTTGGGCAATTCATATTCTTTATTCTTTTGAGCTTACTCTCTGTATCACACAATCAGCACTCTGTTATATCAGCATATAATACTATCTTAATCTTTAATTTTTTTCATATGTGTATGCCTTATTTTGTCACCGTGGTGTATTATAAATTCCCTGGGGCCAAGGATAGTATTTTATCCTTTTTTTTTTTAAAGGAGGAAGCTGTGTGGTATAGTAGAAAGGGTGCTGAGGTTGGGATAAGGAGTAACCCAAGTTTGAATCCTATCTCTGACTCTTACTAGTTATATGACTGTAGACAAGTCCCATAACCTCTGTGGGCTTCAATTTTCTCATCTTTAAAATTGAATTAATAATACCTGTAGTACTTAACTCATAAGTTGTTGAAAGGATCAGATGAGGTGATGTGTGTGTGTGTGTGTGTGTGTGTGTGTGTGTGTAGTGCTTTTCAAACCTTAAAATGCTTATGTCAGATACTGTTATTATTATAATGACCCCTTTAGCCTAGGACAGGTCTCTGGGCACATAGTAGTGGTCACCATAAACTTGTTGGTTAATTACTATCCCTTTATCTTCTATGTAGTAAGAAAAACTTGGTATAAGAATATGTTGTGGAGAAATAGTGAGTGGGAGGAAGAACTCCTGGAAATTATTTTCATCCCAGGTGTCTGTAATATCCTAGTATCTAAGAGAGGGAAGGAAGTTACTTAGGGAATCTCAGAGTAACTGTAGCCCCAATACTGCCAACCCCTAAGAACCCTGATCAAACTAGTGCAGGGGTGAGGAACCTGTGGCCTTGAGGCCACGTGTGGCCCTCTAGGTCTTCAAGTACGGCCCTTTGACTGAATCCAAACTCCACAGAACAAGTCTCCTTCTGTGGAGTTTGGATTCAGTCAAAGGGCCACACTTGAGGACCTAGAGGGCCACATGTGACCTCGAGGCCACAGGTTCCCTTTCCCTGCAGTGGATACTTTCTCTTAACTCTGTTGTCTGTGCATCAGTGACTCAATCAACAAGCATTTATTACGTTCTTACTATGTATTAGGTACTGTGCTAAGCACTAGGAATAGAAATACAAAGAATAAAACGATTACTACTCGTATCCTGGAGAGGCTACAAGTACATACATACATACATACATACATACATATATACACACACAATAAATATAAAGAGAACAAAAACAAATTAATAGAAAGTAATTAAAGTAGTTTTGGAAAAGGCCCTGATCAGTAGGGGAGATCAGAAATGACTTTGTGTGAAAGGTTGTGCTTGAGCTGAATCTTGGAGTAAGAGAGATTCTCTAAGGCAGAAGTGAGGAGAGAATACACTCCAGACATTGAGTGACATACATGACAGACAATGTAAAGACACAGTGACAGAAGGTTGAGTGTTGTGTGTGAGGAACATACAGAAGGCCAGTTTGGATAAATCAGAACACAGGAGGAGAGTAATGTATGACATAGCAGGAAAGGAAGGTTGGGGCTAGGGTTATAACTGGGGATACAAAGAAAGGTAAACTATGATCCTTGCCCTCACGGAGTTTACATTCTAACGGGTGAGACAACATGCAAATAACTTTGTACTTACAGTGTGTATGTGTGTGTGTATATACATATACATATATATGCATATACATATATACACACACCATATATACATACATATGCTGTATACACACTCAGACTATATACATTGTAAATGAAAGTCAATATCAGAGGGAAGGCACTGGGGTGTGTGTGTGTGTGTGTGTGTGTAACAGGAACAGCTTCTTATAGAAGATAGGTTTTGA